TAAAACTAACGACATTATTAACTGTCTTGATATTTACTTTGAAAGCTGAAGCTGCGATTATGGTAAGGGGTGTTACATTTCCGACGCGTGCTTGTGGTATTCGGCCAATCACAATGCACTGGGTCAGCTGGCCAATCAGAGCAGACTGCGCTTGTCAAACGAGGGGGCTTTGTTGAAAACGACGTGTTTGAGAGAGGCGGGGCATAGAGGACCTACAATAATGTACAGTATTTGAAAAATATTGTGTTTTTTGAACATTAAAGCATGTCAACATATTCTGTTATACCAAATACACAAAATAATGATCTTTAAAATAGCATCATATGACCCCTTTAAATCTTTTTTGGAAATTTCGTAATATTTACAAATATCATCGTAAATCTGTTTTACCTTCATTGTCGACGTACCAGGATATACCTTTGGTTCTAATAAAGTTCTGGCACAATAACCCAGATGCTTAAAGGGATAGTTCACCCCAAAAAGAAAATTCTGGTGTAATTTACTCACCTCCATATTGTTCCGAACCTATATTACTTTCTTTCTGCTGTGGAACACAAAAGAAGATATTTTTTAAAAATGTCTTTTTCGATCCACAAAAAAAAGTCAATTTGGCACTAACATCAAGATTTATGGTTTTGCATTCTGCAGAAGAAAGTACAGGTTTGGAACAAGAAGAAGGTGATGGACACAATTTCAATTTTTGAACTATCCCTTTAAGGCCGTAGGATTAAGAGTAGGCTGGGCTATCGTGGGTCACTTTTGAAAGTCTGCACCATGACCCTTTTGACCTCTTGATCTGTGGAAGACCTTTAAGTTAGTAATGGAGAACTGGAGTAGCATGTGTGGACAAGCCTAGAGCTCCACCAGAAAGGGTAGTTCTTTGTTGACGCGGCTTTCCAACTGCATATGACCATGTTAATGTGACCACAAACACTGACCCTTGCTCAACCCTTGGGCTCAGTCTTGAAGAGTTTGAGTGTTAGCGCCTGTATCTACAATTTGCAGAGTACACGGGGACCTCTTTCCCACTCTGCATGTTTTCTTTGGCAGAAATTTAGCGTCAAATATAAATTGTGCAAATATCTTTTACCCACCACATAAGCAGTGTTAAAACCTTGTGAATGCACTCCAGAGGAGGATAATATGTCAAAGATTATATGAAAGTAACTATGATTTACCACTAACTGCTAGCACCGGAGTCTCACCTGGGCCAGATCTCGGGCCTTGAGTCATGAAAGGGATTATGCGTCTATTCTTATTACAGACATTTAATTTACTGGACTTTCTAGCAGAGAACAGTTACAAGTTCGTGTCAGCTGCCTGCTGAAGTTTCAACCAAATGGAATCTGCGCGCCTGTGTATGGCCTCTATAAGATTAATTACATGGTTAATTAAACGCCATGCTTAATTAAGTCTGACGTGTGTTCAATTAATCTATACGCCTAATCATTTCTAACACCCAATGGACACCTGGGATTGTCGAAATGAGTGTTCTGACGACCCCCTCCTCTGCACGACTTACCACCCGTGCTCGAAGTTGACGCGGCTGTTGTGAAACAGGCTGTCTGCTCCGATTGACTGTTTGAAATGCTCGGTGGCGGCCTTTTCTAAGTAAACTCCAGCTCAGTTTCTAGGCTTTGCTACTGGAACTCAGGGACTCGGGGTGAGTTTGAAAGGCTCAGATGCCTTGCCCCAGAGTTCTAGTCTGAGGATTAATGACCTGTTTCCCCTGACCTTTAACTCTCGGCAAAGTTCAGGAGGTCAGAGCATATCCGGCCTGTGTTGTGTCCCATTTCGAATGTTTTCCCAAATCTTTTATATCAGGCTATTAATCTCCATTTGCCTTCAGAATGTTGCATCCAGTGGACTAATTTTGGTTGTGGGGTTTTTATTAATTGGGCTAGGATGAAGTGAACACATCAAGTTCGTTCCTCAAGGGTTACTCGGCGCCACTGAACGATTTTCCTAGTCATCAACTCTCGAGCCAATGGCTGGCCACTTCTTGGAAGACCTGAGGCTACCTTCTGTCTTTTTTTGAGGCTTTTGTAGACACCAGGCTAATGTTGTGTGAAGAGTCTTACGGTGGAGGTCGTGACGAGTTTTGGTGGTGGCGGAGATGGAGGAGGAGGCGACGGCGTCAGTCCCATGGGTCACTCCAGACCTGTCTCTGTCTGATTAACTTCAGCTCTGGGATCCCCGTGGACCGGCCGCCCCATCAAGCCTGCTATCTCAGGCAAGGCTGATAACAGTGCCCATTCCCTAGCGTGTCAGTGGATCAGGGGCAGAAAAACAAGTGGGTTCCCATGAGTCAAATCCTCCTCACTGTCAGCTCTGCAGTTATATTGGCTTCTCCAAGTCAGGGCTTCAACGGTGACTAGGTTTTTTTTGCAGTCGTAGAATTAAACCGTTATTTTTTTTGTTTGTTTGTTTGTAAACTTCCTGGTGGTGGAATTTTGGGGAAACACTGACTTCCTTCTTTTTGTCTACCCTTCTTTTCTGTCTCTTTTTTTTCTCAAGTGGCCAGTGATGCACTTTGTGCGAGTAAGTCCTCCAGTTGGGAGGAAAGATAATGGGATATACAGTGGGTACGGAAAGTATTCAGACCCCCTTCAAAAATGTCAAGGATTCTGTGTTTTTCTGTCAATATGGGGTGCTGTGTGTACATTAATGAGGAAAAAAAATTAACTTAAATGATTTTAGCAAATGGCTGCAATATAACAAAGAGTGAAAAATTTAAGGGGGTCTGAATACTTTCCGTACCCACTGTAGCATGCAAATCTTGAGATCTGTGGAATCTGGTTCATAACTAATCCGAGGATTGCTATAGGATTGTGACTCTGGCTGGGCTCCCAGAAGTGGAGAGCCAGTTCCCCAAAACCAGGCAGCCACTAGTGCTACCAAGAAACCCTCAATACCAAATTTTACCCCCCCCTTTAAACAGACAGGGTCATCTGGAAGTACTTCAGTGTACTTATAGGCAAGTGATTGCTAATCCCAGTTATAAAGGATCTAAATTCATCATTTAGTCCAATATGAGGGTCGCTTACTGAATAGAAATAAGGGAGAAGAAAAAAAACATTGAGGAAAGGAAGGGAAAGCAGGATATAGTGGTATGCAGGTTTTGTTGGAATGACGTATACCTGCTCACTGCAAACTTCCTAAAACTCCCACAGAAGCCTGTCTCCCATCATATCCTTTGTCTAAACCTGAGTATTTAGTTACACCAGCAGAAAGGTTTGCATATTTGTCATGCAATTTTGCATGTGGAGTTGCTTATAAACAGGTGAGTTCATAACAGTATTGTTGTGAATGATGAGTGATTTGAAAGATCTTATCCTTTATTTTCATTTTCAGATTGCCGTCAGAGCTGTGGCCTAGTAGTTAATTTTTTTATTTTATTTTTTTTAGTTCAGATAGTGCTTTTTCCAGTTTTATGTAAATGGTAACCTTGGTTCTGTGAAAGGTCTAGTGATGTTCACATGCAATAATTACACAAAACAAGCTTTAACTTTTAGTTGAGTATTTCTAATATAAATTTATCTATATTGGTTGATACTGTATATATGTTTGCTGGCATTGGATAATCATTTTATTGTGAATGTGCTATATTTACATTTAGATTTTTGCTGTCACATAATACTCACTTTAAGTTAATATATAATAATATAATATAATTGACAATTTAATCAATTAATTATCCAGTATCAGTCTGTTAGTGCTGGGCGGTTTGACTTTTTTTATTTTTTTTTTTTTTTAGGATTGTGGCAGTTTGACGGTTTATGACGGTTTTTCCCTGACTGGGACTTCATATGAATCAGAATGCATGAAACCATTGCAGAACCACTGCATTTTAATCACTATCCAAAAAAAAATTATACAGTTTTTGTATAATTTCAAATTAGATTGTATAATTTCACAATTTA